TTTTAAAGCTTGTGAGAGTGAGTATCGTGATACCGATTTTAGAATTTATGAGGGTGAGTATTATAATAGCGATTTCAGAAATTGTGGGACTGGGTATCATGACAACGATTTTAGAAATTGCAAGAGTGTGTATCATAGTAGCGATTTTAGAACTTGTGAGTGCGATTATCACGATAATGATTTTAGAATTTGTGAGTGGGAGTATTATGACAACGATTTTAAAACTTGTGAGAGTGGTTATCATAATAATGATTTTAGAAATCATGAGACTGAGTATCACGATAATGATTTTAGAGCTTTTGAATTGATCTGAAACAGTGCGCAAAAATGGTTCGTACTAAGCAAACTGCACGGAAAACGCTTCCACCACCAGCGAAACTGATGAAACTGCGCGCTAAACGGGAACGAGTGATTGGCAAAACAACGGTGGGAGGAAGTCCCAAAACAACAGAAATCAAGAAGCGACGTTACAAACCTGGTCAGTTTTTTTTTTTTTTTTTCTTTTTATAGTAGTTTTGTTGAATGAAAAGTCTTGTCCTTCATGGGCTGCAATTTTTTTTGACCCAAAATTTGCGAATTTTTAAGAAAAATCGGCAAAAACCGCGAAAAAATGCGCGTTTCTTTTGATAGTAGTAACAGGCAGTTTATCTCTCGTGATAAATTATAAACCCCTTAATGTACAGTTAATAATCAATATAAACTAGAAAATGCGTTTTTTGCATAGTTCCCCGCAGATTTTTGTCACTGACGGCACTGCTTTTTCTGGCAGATGCTTCTAGCTAAAAGAATTGAGAATGGCAGCCAAGGCTGTCAAGGAACATCCCCTTAAAATTTCAGTTTTCTAGCTTTGCTGTTTCCCGAGTTAGCAACTTACCCGAAAAAGCCTTCTTGGGCCTGTACTTGGGAATCATGTAGGTAGGAGTGCCGATTTTGGGGGTGGAGGTCCGCGCGTACATGTAGATTAAATTCCCAGAATTTCAGCAAAATGAGGTAGAGAGACTCATGGTATACCTCTGTGGTACCACATAGGCTCGGAGAGCGCAACAACGAGTTGAATGGAGCAGCTGCCAGTTGTATCGATGGCGTGACAGCGAATGTCGATGACATACAGCTGCTCAAGTAGTTGAATATTAGTTCTGATGTTGAAGTTCTCACCAATCTGTATTCCAGGAATGCGAGCGCTCCAGGAAATTCGTCGTCTACAGCGAACAGTGGATCTGCTGATACCTCGTGCGCCATTTCAACGTTTGGTGCGGGAAATTGCAATGGATGTAGCGGAGAAACACCTGGATATTCGTTTCCAGTTCGCCGCAATAACAGCCCTTCAGGTACCACTCCTCTTACGGCAGACCTCATTTTTTCGTAGGGATATTTTGTTCAGCTGTAACTCATAACTGGAATCTTCAACTGTCTGTTTGGGGTAATTTTCCCCGTTGCTTTGCCCGTTGATGTATCGCCTGGTGAGGAGGTTGCTGATGCTGGTGATCCTGACTTTGTTTCACTTTTTTCTTTTTTTGAAAAAATTGCCAGCTTGGTATTTCTCTCCGCCAAAGCACTTGGCAAGAATTAAGCCGTTTCGAGGTAGTGTATTTTGCAAAGGCGGATCCAGGGCGGCCTTCTAGGAGGTGGGGGGGGGGCCTCCTTGGGAACGATAGGCGGTGCCGAGCAGAGTTTTCTACAGTAAAACAGCTGTTACCTGAGCCCTTGAGGAGGAAGGAGGAGAGAGAAAGACCTGCGTTGGATCCGCCAATGGTACGTTGAGCATTACCACTTCATCCCACACATTTTCCTGTTTTACCGCACGATTTGGGCACCATGTCGACCAGGGGCATTTCTTTTTCCCATTGTCTTTGAACTGAAGCGCCTAATTAGATCTGTTTTTAATTATGTCACTTTTTCAGGAAGCAGCAGAAGTTTACCTTACATGCCTATTTGAGGACACCAATCTGGCGGCGATTCACGGCAAACGTGTGACCATTTTCCCAAAAGATATCCAGTTCGTGCGCCGTCTTCGAGGAGAAATCGCCCGTTACGGCCGTTAAGCAGCTGCGTTTCGATCATCTGTCATTGTTACTAGCAATAACTGTAGTATTTTTTGCCGAGTTTCGTTTGATATTTGCAGCATTGGTACTCGGGCAAAGTTACCCGTAACTTTCCCCTACTTTATTTTGCTCTGTTAGGGGAGAAATATTGCCGATTTGTACAGATGTTGAAGCCCGAATTGGTCAGACAAATGGAAAAGTGGCTAGCTGCAAAGGTGTTTTCTCAGGCAAAGTTACCCGTAATTTTCCCCTACTTTTATTT